GGGGGGTGGGGGGGGGGGGGTCAACTGGGTGGGACACGAGAGTGGGCTTGGTTGGGCCGTTCCCCGCGGTTTTGATCCCACTTGGTTAATGGAGATTGGCGTTTTGGTTAGACTAGGCGAAGGGAGCGGACCCAAGTGGTACCCAGCGTAACACGTACTTGCACGTCTACGACGTTCGTTTCCATTGAGCGAGATAAGAGATCCTTATGTACATGTCCCGTTGGATGTCGCTGTCGCTGTTGCTGTTGCTGTTGCTGCACCACTCAATTCATTTTGCTGCCGTTGCTCGCTGGCGACTTTGTCCCCTTGTATCCCCACCTCCCACCACCCCGCATCCCCAGGAATTCGCCAAGATCTACGAGCTGTGCGAGTTCATCCTAGACCGGAGCCAGAAGGCCTCCCTCCTCAACGGCACTCTACAGACACTGCAGCGCTTCCTCACGTGGATCCCGCTGGGGTACATCTTCGAGAGGCAGCTGATCGAGTGAGGCTATATACTGTACATGTATCACGTATCATGTATCCATGTTTTGTGTTTTGTGTTTTAGTCTCGCGGCCTTAAAGTGTTGTCGGGGTTTGTCGCTCACGCGTACAACGGTTCGTTCAGAGCTGATTGTCTGGCCGGGCCGGTACGCCAGCCAGCCGCGCGGTGCTATTTAAGCTGGTTTGTCATGTACCGGTCCACCAGGACAGATTTGAACGCGAGAGACACGTACACACGTGCAGTACCGTGCAACCGTTGGCGGAATAACGCGCTGGCGTGGAGCCATCCGGCCATGCATTGTCGGCACGATGGAGGTGCATTGCAGTTGGGAATGATGCGTCGTCGCCGTTAGGAGCTATCCTACACCATGTGTATCGTGAAACACGTAATATGCTACACGAAACCAAACAATGCGTGCGTTTAAGACGGGTATGTTGCTTGCTACGCGTCGTGGGTTACAATCATATTAGATGCTAACTTTTTATCGCTTCAGACGTGCGTGTTGTGCTCCTTGCCGAACGAAAGCCAGCAGTGGTCGGAGGTGTACAAACGCAACAACGCCGAACGCCATCGCACCTACAGCAGGGTTGTTGCGTTGTCGTGGCTTTCCCCTCTTTCGAAACCATTCGGCCGGGGATGAACTGCCGCTGACCCCCCCCCCCCCCCC